TAGTAGTAGTAGTAGTAGTAGTAGTTGTAGTAGTAGTAGTAGTAGTAGTAGTAGTAGTAGTAGTCGTAGTAGTAGTAGTAGTAGTAGTAGTAGTAGTAGTAGTAGTAGTAGCTGTATGTGTAGTAGTATGAGTAGTAGCAGTACTACGACTGCTACCACTTATTCCACCCTCCTCCTCCTTCCAGTATCTTTCCCGTCTTCCTCCTCTCAGTGGCAGTCGTAGTTGTAGTAGTAGTCGTATTAGTAGGTAACGACGTGCCCGTCCGGGTGCCTAGGAGCGAACCGTTTTTTGTGATGATGTTTCGCTGTCGTTTGCATTCTTTTGCATTGTCTGGTGTGTTTTGGAAGCTTATGGGGCGCATGTTGGGCCCCAGAGCGAAAATTTACACTGGGGATTGTCCATTGGATTTTTCGGCTTAAGTTAGTCCCCGTCCATCTACTAGGACATGGTGGAACCGAACGCCCTGTCCGTCCGGGCACCCCGGTGTCGAATGTTGAGGATGAGGAGGAGTTGGTTGGAACAGGATGATGATGATGGTGATGATGATGTTGTTGTGGTGATGATGATGGTGAAGGTGATCATAGTGACGGTTGGGATGATGCCCATGATGATAAGGATGATCATGATGATGATGACTAGGAGGAGGTGGTGACGATGATGCTGATGACTTTAGGGGCTCTCTTGGGGGTGCTCATGGAGCTTTCCTACAGTTTCTTCGGTGGCTTTCCCATTTGGGCGTTTCGGGGCGATCTGTCGCAACATGGGGCCCTCTTGAATCGTCTTTTGGGCCTCTTGGTGTCCACGTCGTCCCTTTGGGGGCTTGCTTGGGCTTGCTTGGATTCGTACAGAGTCGTAAGGATTCCGAGGGATTCCCATGGATTCGTCGGGGTTCCTAGGGATTCTTAAGGATTCGTAAGGATTTTGAAGGAATCTTTGAACATCGTAAGGATTTGTAGTAGAGTTTGCTAAGGATTTCATTGGGGACCTGGACGGGCAAGGCGTTCGGCTTGGGCAAGGAGTCTCAAGGATTCGTAAGGAAATCCTAAGGGTTCGTAGGGATTCCTAGGGATTCCAAGGGAGTCCTAGAGTTTCCTAAGGTTTCCTAGGGATTCCGAGGGATTCCGATGGATTCCTAAGGATTCCCAAGGATTCGTCGTTAGGATTTTATAGGAATCCTTGCAACTCGAGTTCCTAGGAATTCCTAAGGAGTAGTGGGGATTCGGAGGTATTCCTTTGGATTCGTCGGGATTCCTAGGGATTCCTGGGTAGTGAAATCTTTAGAAATCCTTGCACATCGTAAGGAATTGCATGGGATCCTAAGGATTTCACTAGGGACCCGGACGGGCAAGGCGTTCGGTTTGCGCACAGAGTCTGACGAATTCGTAAGGGATTCCTGAGGATTCGTAGGAATTCCTTGGGAGTCGTGAGGATTCCTTGGGATTCTTAAGGGTTCCTATGGAGTCGTAGGGCTTCCGAGGGATCCCTAAGGATTCCTATGGATTTTCCAGGGGTTCTTAAGGGGTCGTAAGGATTTAATAGGAATCCGTGCAACTCGTGAGGATGTGTAAGGGTTCCATAGGATTTCGCTTGTGACCCGGACGGGCAAGGCGTTCTGTTTGCGCAAGGAATCTTAAGGATTCGTATGGGGTTCCTAAGGATTCGTAGGGGTTCGTAGGGATTCTTCAGGATTTCTAGGGATCCCGAAGGAGTCGCAGCGATTCGTAGGGGTTCCTCAGGATTCCTAATTTCCAAGTGTTCGTAGGGAGTCGTAGGGGGTCGTAGGTATTCATAGGGATTCCGGGGGATTCCTACGGATCCCTCAGGATTCCTAAGCATCCCTAGGGAGTCCTAGGGAGTCCTAGGGATTCCTAAGGATTCGTCCGGGATTCCCAGGGTTTCTGCAGGATTCGTGAGGGTTTCTAAGGAATCTTTGCAATTTGTAACGATTTGCCAGGGGTTCCTAGGGATTTGACTCGGGACCCAGACGGATACGGCGTTCGATTTGCGCAAGGAGTTTTTCAGGATACGTAAAGGATTTCGGAAGATTCGTAATTTCTGGAGGGTCTTCGTAGGGGGTCCCTGGGCCAGGGTTTGTGATTTTTGGGGCGGACCTGGGACAGAGGTCGAGTCCGGAGCTATTGCGGCTCGTCGCTTCCTGGCTAACGCTCCCCTGATCTTGACACTTCGATTGTCTCTTGCTCTTTTCCTGCGGCTGCAATGGCCGCCTCGAAGAGCAACGCTGGTATCCTCGAGGTTCGCTACAATAACGCAATCATGACGCTTCAAGTCTCGCTTGTGCCCGACCATGGAGGGCAAGTGGCTAAAGGGCGACCTGGAGCAGAATACGCACAGTGAGTTCACGGCCAACTTCACCGCATCCTCCTCGGAGTCCCGGAACCGCCCCTGGTACGGGATCCAGGAGTTGGCGCGCACCCTCCTTTGGCAATCTTTCATTTCTGTGAGGGCATCGCCATGGGCGTGTTTGGGCCAGCTGTCGAGGCGTTGTTAAAGCAGATACTGGCGCATGAGGCCGCCCTCGCACAGCTTGACGGAGCCAACAAGACGGCAATCCGCACGACGCCATCAGTTACAGCCGCGGTGTCGGAAACGGTCGATTGGATTATGAAGCTCAGTGGCAATCGCAAACTCCGCGGCAGCTTGCCCTTCTTCTTTGTCGAAAGCGAAGTAGGCAAGCATGTCGCGAATCAGCTGCTGGAGTGGGTGTCGGCAGTCGAAGACCCCGCAGCAGTTGCGTCAGGGGCCGCTCCTTCCGACCTCCCGCTGGAGGCCGCCAAGCTTCGCGAGGTGGCGCGATCCAGTTCGCACGTGGCCGTAACCAGTTTGAACACCTTTTTTGTCGATTGTCCTCGCACCTCGCTCTGCGCCTGCCTCGAGAACTCCGGCGGAGGGGTGCGACGTCGGGGAGACGCTTGCCGACGTGTTCGACGACGACGAGGCGCTCGCGCCGGCGCCCAGCCGCCGGCGCCGCAGAGCGGTGGCTGCCCAGGAGGAAGCGGCGGAGGGCGGAGGAGGAGGCGGAGGCGGAGGCGGCGCCGCCGAGGCAGCGCCGCCGGCGCCGCGCCGCCGCGCAGGAGGAGGAGGGCCAGGAGAGCTGAGGCTTCGAGTTTGGCCCCCCACGCTAGACCCTAATACTCTCCCCCCCCCTTCCGTGAGTTCAGCGCCAAGCCTCTGGATGGCGCATTGGATTTCCCAGCCCGCGAGCCGGGCGCGGTCCAGAGGTCCGGGCGCATCTCCTGTTGAATCTCCCGCTTTAGTGTGGCGCTTGCAGATGTGATTTTTTCGAGTGCCCTTTCCCGCAGAAGCTCTCTCGCTCAGGCTATCGCCTCCCGCTCTGCGTGTCGTCGTCTGTATGGCGGATGCCGTGGTCGGCGACGGTCGAAGAGACGTTCGCGTCGAATCTCTGTCGGCGCGCTGGCGATGCGCCCGGCGAACTTCTCCGATGTTCGGCGCGACCGTGTCCTCGCGGGGCCCTCGGCTCCCCGGAAACGTAAATCCTGGAAGTTCTCTGTTTGGTCCCTGGTAGTTTTCGAATGGCCTAAATCCTGGCAACAATGAGTGGGGGTGGCGCCCAAGGCTTTGCGGGGTAGCGCCCGATGGAGTTCTGACGTTGGGGGGGCCAGGGAGACGCGTGGCCTCTTCGTTGAGTCGACCCAACTTGCCCCGGAATTCTGGCTCCAGGATATCAAACCAGAGGGTCCCCAGAGACCTTGGCCCTTTTGGTTTTCGTGCAACCTCCAGGTCGACCCAGACGTCGCCGTGGATGACTGGGCGTCGCAGGCCAGAAATCCGCGGTGTATTCTCCTGGACATGGTGGTACGGTGGAGGCGGGGCGGAGTAGAGACAGTCCGCTTAACGCCGATCCGGCTCCATCGGTTCGAGGATAATAGGGGATCGTAGGGATTCGTATGGATTCCTAGGGGTTCATAGGGATTCTAGGGAGTCGTAGGGGGTCGTAGAGATTCTTGTGGATTCGTAGGGATTCTTTGGGATTCGTACAACTTCTTTTTAGGATGTTATAGGAATCCTTGCAACTCGTAAGGATTTGTAAGGGTTCCGAAGGATTTCACTAGGGACCCGGACAGGCAAGGCGTTTTGTGTGCGCAAGCACTCTTAAAGATTCGTAAGGGATTCAGAAGGATTCGTAAGGATTCGTATGGATTCCTTGTGATTCCTAGGGGTTCCTAAGGAGATGTCGGGATTCGTAGGGGTCCCCAGGGATTGTCGAGGATTCCCAAGGATTCTCAGATCGTGAAATCCGGAGGACTCCTTGTGAATCGATAGGACTTGCGAGGGTTCCTAAGGATTTCATTTGGGACCCAGACGGGCAAGGCGTTCGGCGTGCGCGAGGAGTCTTAAGATTCGTGCGGGAACCCGAAGGATTCGTAGGGATTTGAGACATTTTTAGGAATTCCTCAGGAGTAGGGATTCGTAAGGATTCCTGTGGATTCGTCTAAATCTTTAGGAATCTCTAGAAATCGTAAGGAACTGTATGGGTTCGATTTAATTTGGGACCCGGGCGGGCAAGGCGCTCGGTTTGCGCAAGGAGCCTGAAGAATCCGAGCGGGATTCATCAGGATTCGTAGGGGTTCTCAGGGATTCTTTGGGGAGTTCCTAGGGGGTCGTAGGGATTCCTAAGGATTCCTGCGGAATTCTATGGGTTTCCAGGGATTCTTAAGGATTCGTAATGCTTTTTACAGGAAACGCTGTAAATCGTAAGGAACTGTAAGGGTTCCAAAGGATCTCGCTTGGGACCCAGACGGGTACGGCGTTTGGTTTGCGTGAGGGGTCTTCAGGATTCGTATGGGGTTCTTAAGGATTCGTAGGGATTGGTATCCAGGGATCCCGAAGGAGTCGTAGGGATTCGCAGGGGTTCCTAAGGATTTGTAAAATTGTCGACGTTTTCGTAAGGAGTCGTAGGGGGTCGTAGGGGGTCGTGGGGATTCCAAGGGAATCCAGCGGATTTTTGTTATTTCTAAGAATTCCCGGGTTCGGAAGGATTCCGAGGGATTCTTAAGGATTCGTTGGGGATTCCTATGGTCAGGATCCGTAGTGGGGGTTCTCAAGGATTTGTAAGGGTAACTAGGTTGTCCTCGGGATTCCTAGGGGTTATTTATGGGTAGGTAAATCCGAAGGAATGCTGGCAAATCGTCCGGATTTGTAGGGGTTCCTCACGATTGCATTAGGCGCGCGGACAGGCAAGGCTTTCGGTTTGCGAAAGGAGTCGTAAGGCATCGTAAGGGATTCCTCTGGATTCGTATGGATTCGTAAGGATTCTTAGGACATCTTATGGATTCGTAAGGATTCGGAAGGATTCCTAAGGATCCCTGCTGATTTCGACGGATTCCCATGGAATCGTAGGTCGCAAAATGTTTTCAATAATTCTATAACTCGTAAGGATTTGCATGGGTTCCTAAGAATTTCATTCGGGACCCGGACGGGTAAGGCGTTCGGTTTGCGCAAGCAGTCTTAAGGATTCGTCTGGGATTCCTGAGGATTTGTATGGATTCGTAGGAATTCTTTTGGATTCCTTGTGATTCCTAGGGGGTCAGAGGGATTCCTGGGGAGTCGCAGGGATTCCTAAGGGTTCGTAGGGAGTCGTAGAGTGTCGTAGGGATTCCATTGGATTCTTTGGGATTCCTAGGGATCCCCAGGGATTATGAATCGTTGAAAATCGCAAGGAATTGTAAGGGTTCCAAAGGATCCGGACGGGCAAGGCGTTCGGTTTGCGGAAGCAGTCTCAAGGATTCGTAAGGGATTCCAGAGGATGTGTAAGGATTCGTATGGATTCGAAGGGATTCCTCGGGATTCCGATGGAGTCGTAGTGGGTCGTCGGGATTCCCAGAGATTCCCATGGATTCTCACGGATTCCTAGGCATTCCTAGGGATTCTGAAAGATTCTTTTCGATTTGTTGGGTTTTGAGTTCTTGCGGGTTCCTGAGGATTCATGCAGATTTTTCCCCATATCCTAAGGATTGGGGTTCTTGTTATTACTCTGACGCCTCCCACTGCTCCTCCTTCCTCCCGCTCGCGCCTCCCTCCTCCCAATGATAATCACCAGATAAGACAAGACAAGATAATATACTACAAGATAAGATAAGATAGCACAAGATATGATAAGGTAAGATAAGATATATGACAAGGTAGGATAATAGATAAGATAAGACAGCCTATGGAATAATAAGATAAGACAAGATATGATGCGATAAGATGAGTTGATATAAGATAAGCTAAGACAAGATACGAGATTTCACTCACACTCTCTCATGATCACAAAACGCTGCCAGGGGCATCATTTGGGAGCCCCAATGGGGGAGCCACCCTGGCTGATATCACGAGCCCGTTCGCGCCGATTTTGGTGGGACGTCTCAGCTAAAATTGCCGCTTGGCCTCCCCGACATGTCTCTCTTGAGAGCCTCATGATCACAAAACGCTGCCAGGGGCATCATTTGGGAGCCCCAATGGGGGAGCCACCCTGGCTGATATCACGAGCCCGTTCGCGCCGATTTTGGTGGGACGTCTCAGCTAAAATTGCCGTTTGGCCTCCCCAACATGTCTCTCTTGAGAGCCTCATGGTCACAAAACGCTGCCAGGGGCATCATTTGGGAGCCCCAAGGGGGAGCCACCCTGGCTGATCTCACGAGCCCGTTCGCGCCGATTTTGGTGGGACGTCTCAGCTAGAATTGCCGTTTGGCGCCCCCAACATGTATCTCTTGAGAGCCTCATGATCACAAAACGCTGCCAGGGGCATCATTTGGGAGCCCCAAGGGGGAGCCACCCTGGCTGATCTCACGAGCCCGTTCGCGCCGATTTTGGTGGGACGTCTCAGCTAAAATTGCCGTTTGGCCTCCCCAACATGTCTCTCTTGAGAGCCTCATGGTCACAAAACGTTGCCAGGGGCATCATTTGGGAGCCCCAAGGGGGAGCCACCCTGGCTGATTCACGAGCCCGTTCGCGCCGATTTTGGTGGGACGTCTCAGCTAAAATTGCCGTTTGGCCTCCCCAACATGTCTCTCTTGAGAGCCTCATGGTCACAAAACGCTGCCAGGGGCATCATTTGGGAGCCCCAAGGGGGAGCCAACCTGGCTGATCTCACGAGCCCGTTCGCGCCGATTTTGGTGGGACGCCTCAGCTAGAATTGCCGTTTGGCGCCCCCAACATGTATCTCTTGAGAGCCTCATGGTCACAAAACGCTGCCAGGGGCATCATTTGGGAGCCCCAAGGGGGAGCCACCCTGGCTGATCTCACGAGCCCGTTCGCGCCGATTTTGGTGGGACGCCTCAGCTAGAATTGCCGTTTGGCGTCCCCAACATGTATCTCTTGAGAGCCTCATGGTCACAAAACGCTGCCAGGGGCATCATTTGGGAGCCCCAGGGGGGGTCCACCAGGGGCTTCATAGTCACCAAACGCTGCCAGGGGCAGCATTTTGGCTTCCCAAAGAGGAGTCGACCCGGGCCTCCTAGTCGCCAGACACTGCCAGGGGCACCATTGGGATTCAGACTCGCACCCAGACTCACTCATACACAAGCTCACTCACACTCAGATTCATTTCTTCAGAGTCAGGCACACACAGACGTACCCATACTCAGACTCACCCACACTCAGGCTCACCTAACCAGACTCCGTCAGAAGCCAGTAGCGAAGAGAGCAGAGAGGAGAGAGAGAGAGAGAGAGAGAGAGAGAGAG